CGTCAGGAAACTGTGTGCGCCAGGCGTCAGACAGGCGACCGAAACAGCGCTGCGACGTGTGTGGCCCTCCGCACGTCTCCCCACGGCGCCTGCCGGTGCGGAGAACATAAGTGCAGGGACCAGCACCCGCAGACCTCCCACGCCCAGCGTACCACTCACGAAGCTGCTGAGGCGACGGGGTCTCACGGGAACGCTGCTGCTGCTGGCGCTGGCTACCGCCGAAGCCTCCACGCTGCGCAGCTCCACCCCGACCAGCACCACCGCCGCCGCCACCTCCAGCTCCGCTGCCACTGCCTCCACCACCGCTGCCGCTGCCTCCACCACCGCTGCTGCTGCCTCCACCACCTCCACCGCCACCACCGACACCCCCACCCTCGCCACCACCCTTGCCTCCACCCCCACCCCCTCCGCCTCCTCCACCGCCACCACCGCCGCCCCCGCCGTCCCCTCCACCACCCTTGCCCCCCTTGCCCTTGCCGCTGCGGCGCCTCTCACTAGGAGTAGACGCAGCCCCGACCTGCTCGGTGCCAACGAGGTCGACAGCAGCAGCAGAAGCAACTGAGGGCAGAAGGGGAACGGGGGAACACCGCGAGGGTCGCCGCGAGAAGCACCTACAGCAACTATACTCTTCTCAGCTGCAGTGAGGCGCTCCTCCAGCAGGTCAACGGTGAGCTCGGTGGGGCAAAGAGAGAGAAAGTGGTCCCTGACTGAGCAAAGGGAGTCAGGGAGACGGGTGACTAGGTAGAAGAGGGTGATGTACATGGGGGGGGGGGGTTCTTGGCGCAGAACTCGGAGGGAAGGGCAGCGCGGTAGCGGGCGTCACTAGTGCGGTCTGCGACTGTGGCAAAGGCGGCAAGGTCAGGGAACAGGTACGGTAGCATGAGGCGGCTGAGGGCAGCAGTGGCAGGGGAGGAGTAGCGCGCTACGACAGCGTCATACAAAGACTTAGCAGTCTTGTACTGGCCAAAGTGCGCGCGCTCAGCAGAAGGCAGGTGACTACGAACATTAAGGCGAGCAACAGCGTCACGAGTAGTCCACTGCGAGCGAACTGTACTGTCAGCAGTGGCAGCAGGTGCAGCAGAGGTGCCAGACGTGAGATAAAAAAGCGAGACTCCGTCCTTGCTATCACACTGAAGAAACAGCTGCAGATCATCTACCCAGACATTGAAGTCAACTGCACGTCCCTCAGCATCGAAGGTAAGAACCGTAGGGCTAGCCATGGCGGCAGTAGCAGCAGTGGCAGCAGTAGTAGCAGTAGCAGCAGGAGCAGCGCGGGCACGGCAGCGCAGCTCAGTAGGGCAGTGCGGCGCGGCTCGGTAGGGCGGCGCGGCTCGGCTGGGCGGCGCGGCTCGGCGGAGCGGCGCGGCTCGGCTGGGCGGCGCGTCTCGGCCGGTAGGCAGGCGCGGGTAGCGCGCGTAGGGCAGGTGCTCACCAGGGGTGGGCAGGGCAGGCGCGACGGCGGGGTCGCAACGGCGGCGACGGCGGCGGTGCCGCTACCAACGGTGCCGGGCACGTACTCGGCCAAGTTCGACCTGTGTGTGCAGGCCACGCCATTCTTCCTGCACACCGTCTCGCCGCCCAACCACCATCCCGACGATGGCTTGTGGTACTTTAGCTCCACCATCTCCGACGTTCCTAAGGTGACTATAGTGAAAATGCTTTTGTTTTTACTTCTGAAATATCGCTGTACAATGTGACTGTAGCGAGGGGTCACAAGGTGGCTGACTGGGCGACTTCGCGAAGGTGACTATGTGACGGTTATATGGGTACTGTGCAACATTTGCAGGCATGTTGATGCTCTTGTTGAACTTCTTTTGTGTGATAGAAAGGGTTTAGGAGTAAATATTGCTCCTGAAACTTAGTTAATACACTTCTCGTACCATTTGCAGGTGGGGTTTCGAGCATTGTGGATTGAAGTTGATTTTGGAATTCCACAAAGTATAGCTCCTTTTGTGCTGACAACTGACGCCCTTCTAGCGCCAAACAAGCTGCCCTTCTCACCTTGTCAGCCCGGCAACCATTCTTGCCAACAAGGTTGGATATGACAAGATATGCAACACTGGTGGAGTTGCCATTCATGCTCACCTTAATCCGGAAATAACTGTACAGACATATTTTGTATATATATATTTTTTTGTTTTGCATCTTTTTGCTATTTGGATGTAGAAGTCTGATAATTGGTGGAGTTTCTATCCTGATTCTTTTGGAAACTTCTGACAACTATCATACCTCACTTCTTCTGAGATTCTTGGTGGGTATATTTATTTGGTTCTGGTTTAATTTGCCAGTGCATTGCTCAAATTATACCGTATTCTCCCGTAACAGGACCCGGTGGACTTTCTACAAATCCCCCGAAAACGCTAGGGTAGGGTGGTCGTTATAGCAGCACCACTTCTTTTAAGACCAGAGTACATCTATATTTTCAAATAATAGCTTGACAAAAACCATGTACACTCGAATTTTGGGAGGGGGGTCTTGGCCCTGATCGGTAGCCCCTAAGCCGAGTAAACTTCCGTGGCGTTGGCACTCGAACAGGAGTACACCGACCCACACGTGTGGGCACGTGTCGGTGGGTACTTCCCATCTCCTCCTTTAAGTTTCCCAACTCCGCGTACGGAAGTTGCGAGGGTCGTGAGCGCGATTTCGTTCAAAACACTGTTGCGTTCGGCCCATATTGCCCAACTCGTCCTCAAGAAAAAATATTCTCCCATAGGGGTAACATCGAGAAAGATGTGCGAGCGGATGACATCGATTGCAACAGGAGTGGGGGGAATGGATTTTTTTGAAGGTGTAAGAGGTGGTTAACGCTCGCAAAAGAAAAAACAAAATCTGCGGTGTTATCGGGTTCACCCTTCGAGGGCTTACTCCGAATAAGTGAGGCGTACTCTCCCAAAATGCTGGAGTAAGCGGAGTTCCTCCGCGGAGCTAAGTTTGCCCGTGAACGAAACTTCCTGAAGGGCCACTTCGAGTCGTACTCCGAGTAGGTGGTCCAGCGATCGTTTGCTCATTTTGGCTTACTCGGACTAGGCCACGTCGGAGTGAGTAAACTTCTGTCACACGTGCGAAGCGGGAGTTAGTGAACTCCCTCGAAGCTCACTTAGGGTACATTCCTGTGTCGACATTTGTGTCTCAAACCTATTGTGACGCGTAAAAAACAACATATAACGTACAATGTCACAAACGCGTGTCGCCCTAATGCGACTTTTACTATATTTTACATTGGTGAGCGTGTATTGCGCTAGTGTCGCGGACGAGTTGGACGAGGCCCCGTCACGTCCCCGAAATCGCACGCGGGTCGAAATGTCAAGGAATTGTCCGGCTCGACCGCATGCATCTGGACGCACGACGAGGTGACAGATTCGAGCGGGAAAAGAAACCGCCACGTTTGGGCAGCCTCGAAAGGGGTTTCCTCCCCCAGTCTCACACATGCCTGCCCGACGTACCCACTCCCCTTCTCGACCCTTCTGTCCAGCAACCATCCTGGATCTCTTCTTCTCCACCTTCTGTCAATTTCATTTCTCGTTTCTTGTTTCTCCTTCTCGCTAGATCTCTACCCCTCTGTTAGCCATGGCGCGTAAGCGTAAGAGCGCAGCTGAAGCCGCGAACGTGTGCCCGCGGGATTTCAACGAGATCTGTCAAACTTATATGCTATAGTCTGTGTAGGCTGTAGTGGGGTAGTTCATATGGGGTACAACACTTCAAGGTTTTCCTACTTGTACCCACCTGCTTGCTAGTTCATCCATTCCTCACTTTTACTTTCACATGGTTTCAGAGCAGGTTCCCTAGTGGGAACGATTTTTTTAGGGCCCACCACGAAAAGTTTTCCTACCTGCCCGAAGCGCGCTGTCGCGCCTGCCTCACCTGCGCCGTCGCGCGCTCTACCCTGCTGTTGCCAGTCGCGACCCTGCCCTAACGGCCCGTCGCGGCCCTGACTTAGCCGCCCGTCGCGGCCCTGCCTTGTCGCCGCCCGTCGCGGCCTGACCCGCCGCCCGTCGCGGCCCTGCTCTGCCGCCCGTCGTGGCCCTGCCCTGCCGCCCTACGTCGCGGCCCTGCCTTGCCGCCCCAAGTCGCGGCCTGCCTCAGCCGCCCGTCGCGGCCTTACCCGCCGCCCGTCGCGGCCCTGCTTTGCCGCCCATCGCGGCCCTGCCCTGCTGCCCTACGTCGCGGCCCTGCCCTGCAGCCGTTGTCGCGGCTCCTGACCTGCAGCAGCAGTCGCGGCCCCTGACCTGCAGCACCCGTCGCGGCCCTGCCGTCTTTGCCGTCGCGCCTGGTGCCGCCTTCGCGGCCCCGCTGTAGCGGTCCTGCCCTGCAGCCGTCGTCGCGCGTGCAGCACCCGTCGCGGCCCTGCCCTGCCGCCGTCGCGCCTGCAGCCGCCGTCGCGCCTGCAGCCGCCGTCGCGGCCCCACAGTCGCCCGTGATTTTGCCCGTGATTCTGCATGTGATCCTGCCCGTGTTGCTGCCCGTTCCCGTGCCATACTGCCCGTGCCCACCCGTGTCTCCCGTTGCTGCCCGTGTTCTACCCGCGCCCAGTGTCCCCCGTTCTGCCCGTGCTGCCTGTTCTGCCCGTGCTGCCCCGTTGTGCCCGTGTTGCCCCATTCAGCCCTTGTCCTGCCCCATTCTTCCTGTGCAGCCCCGTTGTCACCGTGTTGCCCCGTTCTGCCCGTGTTGCCCCGTTCAGCCCGTGTCCTGCCCCGTTCGGCCCGTGTTCTGCCCTGTTCTGCCCGTGTTGCCCCGTTCAGCCCGTGTCCTGCCCCGTTCAGCCCGTGTTCTGCCCTGTTCTGCCCGTGTTGCCCCGTTCAGCCCGTGTCCTGCCCCGTTCTGCCCGTGTTGCCCCGTTCAGCCCGTGTTGCCCCGTTCTGCCCGTGTTGCCTTGTTCAGCCCGTGTCCTGCCCCGTTCAGCCCGTGTTCTGCCCTGTTCTGCCCGTGTTGTCCCGTTCAGCCCATGTCCTGCCCCGTTCAGCCCGTGTTCTGCCCTGTTCTGCCCGTGTTGCCCCATACAGCCCGTGTCCTGCCCCGTTCTGCCCGAGTTGCCCCGTTCAGCCCGTGTCCTGCCCCGTTCTGCCCGTGTTGCCCTGTTCTGCCCGTGTTGCCCCATACAGCCCGTGTCCTGCCCCGTTCTGCCCGAGTTGCCCCGTTCAGCCCGTGTCCTGCCCCGTTCTGCCCGTGTTGCCCTGTTCTGCCCGTGCTGCCCCGTTCTGCCCGTTTGTGCCCTACCCGTGCTGTCTGTACCCGTTCGTGCCCCACCCGGTCTGTGCTGCCCGGTCTCGTGCTGCTCGTCATCCCCGTGCGGCCCGTCCCGTACGGCACCTAGTTGCTACCCGAACCCGCTACCCGTACCCGTGCTCCTCGCACACCGTGCACCAGCTGCGGGGCGTTCAACCGCAGCCGGGCACCTGTTCCACCGCGGTGGTTCAGATGCTGCTTGGTGGTTGCTGCTTGTCAGCTTCAGAAGGGGCCCCTTGCTGGTGTTCCCACGCCCTGTAATGGGGTTTTACAGGTGTACCCCTTCAAGGGGGGCTCTGCACATGGTTATGCACTTCGGGCAGATAGGGGGTGTGTCACAATAGATTTATATCTATTTAGTATAATCTGCCTGTAGTGTAGCTGTTGTGTAATTCCCTTGTATGGTGGTGCACCTCTTTCACCTTTGTTAGGTTGCTATATGTACTCGTGTGCTATAGTGAACCTCCAACTCTTCAATTCTCCTTGGCACAAACTACTCGACACCCGCTTGGCCTAGGCTACTAAGCCTAGGCCCTTAGTTAAACCCGTTCCTAGCTAAGTTCGTCTCGTGACACCTAAATTAGTGCTAAACGATTAGGGTTTCCAGATTTTGTAATGGGTCAAAAGTCAGTTGGGATTGTGAATCTAACCCTGAACAAATCAGAGCAGGAAAATTTCGAGGAAGTGCCTAGCGATTAGGAATTTCCACTCGATATCAGTGATACACATTGCCTTCAAATTTCTAGTTCCGTCACGAATGCCTTATGAATGCTACATCTTGAGACTTCTCCGCCAGTTTGTACACGTGTTATCGCGAGGCTACAGCTGTGTAAGCGGTTGTCATAAGTATCGCTTTGGAAATTAATGCAATGAGAACAGTCTTTCGTGCAAAGTCATCTGAGAGCGATAAAATCCACCGTGCTTCCCTCAAGGGAACATTGAGACAAACATTGAGATCGCGGAATGCTGGCGTCGAAGTCGTGATGCTTCTCCGCTCTGATTAAGAAACAGGGTATCGTTGTATTTTATTAAGCGCTTGCTAACGTCAGGCTTGGCTCAGCAGTTGTCCCGAATCAGTAGAATTGTAACAGCGTGGTAAGAGGAACGCATTAGAGCACGCCAAGCTGCGAGTTTACATGGCAATGCCGCTTTTGCCAGCTCCACTGATTTGATGCAGAGAAGCCACTAAATGATGACTGCCTGAGCATTGAAGCTAGGTCAAATGCAGGGAATTTGTTGTATGGTAAAGAAGTCAGCAACACTCAGGAGGTCAAGCGACAAGGAAGGTGAAATATGAAGTTGGTCGGCTCGGCACCGAGGGGCTGTGCCTGGTTCGCCTCTGCTGGTTTGGTGGGGTATGGTTTGCTTTGATTTGGCTTCAGAGAGACGTTGGAAAGGTTTGGTCAGTTTTGGCGCGAAATCCAGGTTCTGACAGAAGTGGCTCGACTGTTGTTCAGGATCCGTCGCTTTGAGATCTTGCTACGAATTCAATTCTCAACTAAACGCAAATCCGCTCGGTAGAATGTTGCGCCTTAGGATTAGCTACCATCTACAACTTGAATCACTTAAAAGGATGGTCTATAGAGTGAGAACCACTTGAAAACGTCCACCAGGTGCATGACTAGAATGGTGGAGGAAGTACAAGCATTAGGGCATAGAAAGTTGGAGTTTGGGACTCCAAGAGAACCATGAGAGGGAAGGGGTTCTCCAAGAGCTAGGGAAGGATGGTAGGAGCCTCCCTAGCAGCAAGGATGCAACCCTCATCATGAGGTCCTTGAGGTGTCACATGCAAAATCCAATCTAGTTGGATTTTGCCTAGGTGTTGCAACATTTTGCAACCCATGCTAGAAACTTCTAGCCACCCCAATCCAAAATTCAAAGTTGCCTTCCTAACCACCCAACCAAATATCCCTTTATAGTCATGTCCAAGTAATCACCCAAATTATATATAACCCCAAAAGGTAATAAAAAATCCAAGTCTTGGAAATCTTGTAACTTGGGCGATCTTGGTCGGAATAAGGCAATCTTGGTATCGTTGGAAAGCTCTGGATTTCTCCTGCATGATCAAGTATGTAAACTTGGAGAAAAAACACCGAGATGATTATATCCAACAGCCATGCACAATGACATATGCTCACGCAAATCATGAAGCACAAATAGCACGAGCACTCGACAGGACGTTAGGATGACATGCACTCAGAATGACGTGCATCCAACAAACTCCCCCTCAGACTAACGGACAGCATGCACACACTGACACGCATGCAAACACTCATGCACACAAACACGCATGCACTCATGACACTGCTGCCCACACTAGTGCAATGCCATGCCAAACATCTTTGCACACTTCTAATGTGCACTCTCGGGATGTCTCTTGGTGAGAAAATCTGCCGCCTGCTTGCTAGCCTTCACATGGTGAAGCTCAACAATCCCCTCCTTCACCATCTGCCTCACCCAGCCACTTAATCTTCATGTGCTTCTTCAGCCCATTTAGGATAGGATTATTGGCCATGCCAATAGCAGCCTCCCTCCTGTTCAGCTCCCATGTCCTCCAGCAGCTTCCTCAGGAGCACAATCACCTTTATGGCATGGTACATTGCCATGTACTCTGCCTCTCCGGAAGACCGAGTAATCTCACTCTACTTCTTGGACCTCCAGCTCACTGGTCCACCTCCGACCATGCACACAAAGCTGCCAACTGTTTATTGATCCTCCTCCTCTGAGGCCCATGTGGCGTCGGTGAAGCACGACAGCTTCAAGGTTCCAGGCGTGATCCCATCTGCTCCAAACTGTTTCAGCTGGCCGCCAGCTGAGAACTGAACACCAGCAGATGCCGTTGATCCGAGGTAGCGCACCAAGCGCTTTGCCACCTCCAACTGCTCCTCAGTGGGCCGCTGCACAACTCTGGCTAGCTGCCCCAGTCCGAATGAAGCATCAGGTCGCGTATGTACAGCAGCATACATCACACTCCCAATGAGTGACTGGTACTCATTCTGCTGCTCATCCTCAAGCACATCATCCTCCTCAGCTGCCTTCTTCAGTTTGAAGCCTGCAGGGAACGGTGTCATCACAGTGCGACCCCCAGTCACACCATAGCGCTCCATGACACCAGAGATGTAGTGTGACTGATGCATCTTCAGCCACCTCCTCTCAACATCCCTCTCAATCTGCAGCCCCAAGTAGTAGTGGACATCCCCCAGCATCTTGCACTTGAAGTTGTCCATCAGCAGCTTCTGAGTCCTCTCAATCTGCTCCATGGAAGGTGAGAACAACAGTATATCGTCGACATACACCAGCAGCAAGAGCAACTACTCCCCCTGTCCAAGCAAAAACAAAATGTGATCCGCTTGGGACGTCTTGAAGCCCCCACTCACCAGCACCTCCTCCAGCTTCTCGTACCAGCACCTGAGCGCTTGCTTAAGGCCATAGATAGCCTTCTTGAGCTTGCACACCCGGCTGGTCCCATCCCCAAAGCCGTCGGGCTGTATTCCATTGAGAAATGCAGTGGTGATATCCATCTGCTTCACGTGCCATCCCTTCTCATCGGCGCCAGCCAGCACAGTCCTCAATGTCACTGGCTTAACAACGGGAGCGAAGATCTCCCCGAAGTCAACCTTCTCTTTCTGCTGAAACCCCTTGGCGACCAAGCGGCTCTTGAACCGCTCCAACGCACCACCAGCTCCACTCTTCACCTTGAAGACCCACTTGCTGCTGATCGGCCGTCGCCCCTCGGGTAATTCAACAAGCTCCCAAGTCCCATTCTCAATGAGACAGTTGAACTCCGCATCCATGGCAGCCTTCCACTCCTTCTTCTGGGGTCCACTCAGTGCCTCCTCCACTGTGGCTGGTTCTCCAAGCAAGGGTGTGAAGAAACAGAAGGCCATCTCCTCATCCTCTCCCTCATCTGCCTGAACCGCCATAGCACCTTGCTTGGGTCCTCCCAAACGGCTGTACTTCAGCCTTGAAGGTGGTGCTGCCACTCTCTTCTCGCGGGTTGAAGTCTGCTGCCCATGTGGTGAAGCTCCTCTCTGCACACTCCTCTTGGTGACCTTGGCATTTGCAGCAGGCTCGGGCTGAGTTGGTGAGTCCACACGTGCCGACTCATCCTCCAACCCCTTCTCTGCAGCAGGACCAGAAACTTGCTGCTCACCACCGCCACCGTGGTCACTGGTCAGCTCTGACCCATGGAGTTTATCAAGGTGCAGCTGAACCTCCTCCACTGCAGACCGCTCAATCTCCTACAGACGCAAGCCAATCTGCACCTGCTGCTGCTGCTGCCAGTCCTTGTACATGACGTCCTTCACAAACTTGACGTCACGGCTGACCAGCGTCTTCTTGCTCTTGGGGTCTCACATCAGCCACCCCTTCGAGTCAGGAGCCATCCCAAGATGGACAGCCCACATAGCAGCTACTTCCAGCTTGTGCCTCTGCTCCTTAGGCACCATCACAAGCCCCATGCAGCCCCACACCCGCAGCATGTCAATGGATGGCTTCTTCCCAAGACAACGCTCGTACGGCACCCAGTGCTTGTCGCCAACATGCGTCAAGACCCTGTTCTTGACCGTGATGACATGGCGAACAGCTTTAGGCCAGAACTTGTAGGGCATCCCAGACGCCCCCAACAAGGTCTTAGCCGCCTCGCCAATGGTCCGGTTGGCACGCTCAGCAATGCCATTCTGCTGCGGTGTTCCAGGGCAGGTCAGCTGGTGTCGAATGCCGTTCCTCTTGAGAAACTTGGTGAATTCCGCTCCAAGGAACTCTCCACCACGGTCGCTCCTCAGCACCTTCACCAACCGCATCGCTTGCCGCTCCACCATCGGCAACCAATCCTCCTTGATCGCCGCTGCAATATCGCTCTTCTTGGACAAGGGACGTGCCCACGTGAAACGGCTCCATTTGTCCACCGTGATGAGGAAGTACAGCACTCCCCTAGTCCCCTCTGTCCTCATAGGACCCACCAGGTCCATGTGCACCACCTCCAAGGGTGCCTTCGCCGATCCCTCCGCACGTGGAAACGGGAACCGCGCAAACTTGTTTTGCATGCACGCCTCGCAGCTGCCATAGTGAGCGCCATCTCCTTGTAGATGCAGGCCATGCATGCACTTCTCCTTGTGCATCACCTCCAATGTAGATACAGCCACGTGTGCGAGTCGCCGATGCCAAGTCTCCCAATCCGCTTGGCCCGAGGTAGCCGACGCCTTCACGGCCGCACTTCCTCCAATCAGCTCGTCTCCTTGCACACCTTGCTCCTCCTCCTC